TGGAGATGCTTTGAGAGTGACAGGAAAACTCTGGAAATAGTTACGTTAATAAAGAACTAAATTATTTAACAAGAATGGAGCCTCCTGAAGCCCTACCCTGAGCATAATACATGAAATGACTCAGACAATCAAAGTGCCCTTCTCCTTTGTGAAGCTCCACCTCTGCTGCTTCCAGTTGGGGCTGCATCATGGGGACTGCTGGGACCACTGAGACAAACACAAGTCACGTGGGGTAGCAGTTTTGCCATTTATCTTCACTGGTATCAGCTATGAGCCTCTCATTTGAGAAAAATATGTTTTAACTCCCCCCTGCCCCCCGCCCCCCCCAGGCTCTGCCAGGCTACATCAGAAGGAACTGAAAACAACAAGAGATGAGAAGGTAACATTTACATGGTAAAAAGTCCTAAAATTGACAGCGTTCCTGAAATGCTGTGAATCTCCTTTGTTTTCTTGGCTCTCATTCCCTCTCTGTTCCTTTGAGAACAGGAGAAGTCACCAGTATTGTAACCCCATAAATCACAGTAACTACACTTCATACACTCCTTATCTGCCCACACAGCTCAATGTTTTATTTCTCCTGTTTGACAGTGATAGGGAGGAAAACCTGAGCAGTCATGGTTTTCACTTGAATTTGTCAATGGTGAGATTATTTATAGTGTTCCAGTGTCCATGAGGATACTAGATTTTTTAATATTACTATTACCATGGCCTTGCTTTAATGCTAGTGGACACCAGCTTTTGTGCTCTCCTTCTCACTTTCCCTTGGCCTCACTAATAATGCTGAGTGGGAAGCAGCTTAGTGATTTCTCCTGAAGGCTTGCTTCCTACCAAGACATGGGTTTCAGGCAGTACAGATAAACTGAGTGCCCTTTGTCACCTCACCTCATGCCCATAGTGACAGCAACTTTAGTGAAATACCTGGGAAGGGGAAGGGACTATGTGCTGCTGTCAGAGACAAAGCGTGCATGCTGCACCATCAGCTAGAGTGGTAAACTAGCTCAGGATCTTCGAAGTGTATCCACACCTACACAAGGAGGCAAGAACACACTTCAGCCTGTCACACCCCATGTCCAAGAGCCGAGCAAGTTACAGATACTGCCAACGGAATGGACTGTGCCAGGCTCAGCCCAGCCCATGTCCAACCTGTCTGTTCTGAGAAAATGAAATCACAGTGCTTGTAGTGCAACATTGATTGCTTTGGGTTCTTCCTTACCAGCTCTGCTGCTGCGCCAATGTAAAAAGGGGTACAGATTATTTATACATTAAGGCATAAATAAGTTGTGTGGCAGAGAGCTGGGATTTGACAGTGAGATTGGAGCATGTCTGAATGGGTGTTAGGTCCTTACTCTCTGATATACCACAGCCGAGCATGAGGGCCCACAAAGGGCTCCCAGAAGCTACCAGTGGAGCACTGGTCCTTGCTATGGACTCTACAAAAGCACGCTTGAAATTGAAACTTTCACACCATACAACACCAGAAGCAAGGGTGAAACTACTACATGAAAGGTGAAGATGCTACAGAACAGCCTGGAGAAAGAAGAGAACAGGTATCTCTGCTAGAACAGGAGAGTGATAAAAATACAGTTAGATCTCTAAAAGCTTTTCTGGAAGAGGTTCTAATTACTGAGCCATTACTGATCTGTGACTAAACTTAGTCCCGTCTACAAACATATTTATGTTGATGCCCATGGAGCTGATCAATTACTCAGTTTCTCATTAGCACAGCTATCCCTCCGGTCATTAGCTGTATCTTCTTTTAACCCCATCAGTACTGAGTATTAAAATTACTAGTCTTATGGAATACAAAAAAATGAAAAATAGAGATCCGATGTGCAAGACTATATTAATAGATTAGAAAGTAAGAGTTTTATTTATATTTCCAGGGTTTTTAATGAAGAATATAATGTGCTGTTCACAGATTACCCCTCTTCTGCGGGTCAGTCACATTTAAGAAGGTGATAGAAGATATCCTTTCCTATAAAATCTATTCCAGTAGCAGTGTAATTAATGCAGTTGCTACTTTACATACAACATGCAAAAAATTAGCTCATGTAACATTTTCCAGTATAAAGGTTCAATCATGTGTCCTGCTTATTTTTGTTCAAGTGTCCCTGAGCCTTTTTCATTGCTTCTTTGCTTCTTATATGACCACCTGGGCTTACATCTTTCTCTTCCATCATTTCAGATCCAGACAAATCCAAGACAGAGAGAGAGAGAGAAAATTATATAACTGGAAAGCAGGAAAAAATGAGGGAAAAAGGCAAATTAAGATAAATTGAAAAAGTGGCTTGACTTACCATTTTATATGAGTAGAATGACCATCAAAGGGTTTAACTCTGTGCAGCAAACTATATGCGAGTAAAGATGCAGTATGGCCTCTCCTCATGTAAATGATGCTTTGGATTGTCTCACATCTTTTGTGTCTGGATCACAGGGAGAATGTGGGTGTCTTGGTGTTAGGGATGAATTTCCTCTCTTGCTCCTCCTGTCTTGTCTCTTTGTTGTTTAACAAAACCTTCTTTCTTTCAAAATTATATGGATTTGTTGATATTCTCATAAATATGTATTCACTGTAAGTATTTTCCCATGGCATTGCATATTTAAAATCTATTGTGAAACTTTAGGCAGGGAAAAAAAAGCAGGAGCTATTGGAGCGGAAATACATCTATTATTTTGCAGAATAAATACCACCAACTTAATCTCTATATACGGCCATTACATAAGGGGTATCTGTGACTGAAATTCCTTCTACATACTTCAGTATTTCTGTATATATCAGAGGTAGGAGCCACACACACATGAGTCTGTCAAGCTCAGAAGATGCATAGTTGGAAAGTGGATAAATACAGCAAACTACAGAAAGTCAGAAGTAGTCATCCTAAAATGGACTTAATAAAACAAAGATTGCAGCAGGGATAGAAAAAAACAAGCTATAAAGCCTTCATTTACTCTGTTAATCAGATTAAAATAAAAATATTACGGGAATCTACCTGGAGGAATAAGTAAATTTTTAACATAAATCCTTTAAGTCTTCATATACACATATAGAGACTATATGTAATTTCACCATGTGTTAAAAACTTGCCCTGGCTGTTAATTTTCTTTTCCTAATCATGTATTTACATGTTTATTATGTTACTAAAATAACAGAATACACTGTCTAGTAATGTTGGGAGACTTCGAGCATATTAACAGGTCACCTCACCTCCTTTTTTTCTGATTTTTTTTTAATGAAGGGAAATCGAACGTGAGGTAAGATCAAGCAGTTAGTGTACTTGACTGCAGAACAAAAATGGAAACCCCAGGTCTTCTGGTCCCAAGTTTTGTACCTCACCTCTATACAGCAGTTCACTCCTGAGTTAAACACATGCAAATTTGGTTTGGAAGAAGAAAGTGCAAAACAAGAGCTTTGTTCATCCAAGCACTTGCTTAGCTAACTAGCTCCAGCCGGGTTTGCTAACACAGCTATATTTGGTAACATCAGAGGAAGGACATCGCTCCAGCGATTTCCGTGACTGTATTCAGCACTAAGGGTCCTCTTCATATTCTGGCTGGAGACTCGAAAGCTGACTGCATACATGAACCTCCACACTGCTCTGGGGCTCCACAGCCTCCCAAGGCAACCACTTATGTCATTTCTATACTGTCTGTTACCATAGCAACGGAGGTTGGGGTTTTCATCGAGTGATGCTCAGTGTGCTGGTACCTGTCCTGTAGTGACTCTACTGAAGCCTCTGAGAGCTTTGTCATTGACTTCACTCAGGTCATTGACTTCAGTGGGGTCGCTCCAAATAAAGATCCAGTCCAAAGGAACTAGATAAAGTTTTTAACTAAATCTTAGAGCACAAAATTTGAGCCCTGGTCTCAATTTTTAGTTTAAAGTACTTCAGATAATATACTTCTGCTGTCAGGCAGTATCATTCTTAACCCTGAGGTAATGATCTTACTTCAGTGTAGGTGCCTGATATTGTCTGCCAGCTTTTTATCTTCAAATATCAAGTGTATTTTCATTGCATCTCTTGCACAGGCTACGTACATATGATGCTATGCAATAAGGAGAAACAAAATGTGTGATTTTTTAATTATTCTTCTGCTCTTCTATTTTTTAATCTCCAGATGGTCCCTGGGACTGGTGATGTTTTCTTTAGTCTATATATTTCCCACTTTAATTACCTTACTTAACCAGTAAGCTTTAATTAGCTTCCTTAACCAGTACACATTTGAGAGATACACACGTGATCAGGTAGTATCAGGTGCTAATGTTTAATTGCTTTCACAAAATTAGAAGCGGATAAATGGTTGAACTGTAATTGAACGAACTTATTAGAAGACAAGCTGATCAGTGTTGTGACATAACTTGAGAGATTCCCACACTTGCAGTAACTTCACATCAGCCAGGGCTGCTGTCACGACGGTGAGCACAATGCAATTGCTCTGTTAGAGAGCAGGATCAGAGCTGGGTGACTGAGATCTGCCATACATATTTATCAGCTGAGGGGCAGAATTTGTATCACTATCTAAGAGCAGTGAAGCAAGCTATTGCTTTGATTTAACACCTCCCAAGAAAAAAAATGCAGCAAACAGATCTTTTGGGGGGTGCTTTGAAAAAAAAGCTGCATCTCTCTCCATCCCTGCCCCTCCCCAGCGTGTGTGCTTGTGCGAAAGGACAGGCAGCCACTGAGGGCACCTCTCCCTTCTGGGGTTTTGTTGGGAAATGTCAGGTAGTTAGTGCCGAGAGCAGCGGGGATCTGACACATGTTTGTATGGATGGGCTGGCTGGAGCAAGACTGAGGCTTCTCCTTCTTGTACCAGATTCAAAGATTTTTTATTGCTCGGAGAAAGATCTGAGGAAAGTTGAGTGAAATTCTCAGAATCTGCACCCTCCATGCATGTTTTACCAGATGGCTATCATTAACTGATGAATGGGAATGTTTGGTTTCAATGTAGCCATAGTAATTTTACTTGGGTGTTAAGATGGAAAGGAGTCATGCAGTACTTACAGGATCCCTTTTTACAAGGCCTGGGTTAGGCACAACAGCAATGAGGTGGGCAATTGTAAACATGGAGTTCAGCACATAAGAAAAAAACAAATTCTTATGCAGTGTTATCCTTTGACAGCTGAGGCTCCTGAAAAATATGTAGCACACGTCGTAAATTAGTATTTTTCTTCTGATGTCACTTTAACAAGCTCTTTCTGGCAACAGTCTCTCAAGAATGCCTTTTGGCAAGGCGTAATCGGAAAATACATGCCTTGCATCGCAGCCATAACCTCTGACAAATTTTTGGTTTTGTTTTTACACCTGTTTAGCATCACATGCTTTTTAGACCATGTTGTAAAGAGCCATCCAGCTACATTCTCAGCCCTTGATGCCTGCCTTTATTTCACAGTAATTGAGATATGTAAGTGGTAAAGCAAAACCCTGAGAATTATTAGATGCGCATGATACAAGTAATGAACATCAGGAATAATGCTTTATATGTAACTGTTCCCTGGTGACTCAATTTCTCAAATACTCAGATGAAAATTATTTGCCACTTTAGGAATTAGTGGTGAGATGGATGGGAACTTTAGGTAGGAATCTCCTTAAATTATAGGGGGATTTGAGTTGGTATCCTGCATGTTTCTAACTCCAGCTGAGATCTCAAACCAGAAGAGGTTGTTTTCCTGCTCAGAAGGAGCAGCAGTCTTTTCTGAATGACTGATTTTGGGGAGGGTAGGATTTCTGCTATTGTGTGTAGCAGAATTTCACAAAAGAAGTTCACAGAATTCCTGTGAAACCAAATCATGACTGCGGTTTCAGACCTGAATCATCTCTCCTTTTTAATTCATGCCCAAATCCTCATGCCACCTCCTCAGCTACCCCTGATGCAGAGAACACCCCCCTACCCCCCACATTGCTCCATGCCCTGGAGCACAGCCTGGGGCTGTCAGGAGGTGACTGCAGAAAGGTAATCATTGCGTTGTTCGATACTGCTGTGATATCTGTATTCAATGATCACTGACAGCAAGCAGGCAAAGCCAGTAGGTACAAAACAGCTAAGAAGAGCAAGTATCACTGTCTGGCTGAGGAAGCCTTCCCTCTTGGCACTAGAAGTCTTCTCCAGTCTGGAAAGGAGCACAGGCTGTGACTTTCTGATGCTCTGCATGTGGAGGTCAACAGAGAATGCACTTTCTTTAAAAACAGAGGGCTAATCTAACCAACTGAACTCTTTTCTGCCTATTTTGCTTGTTTGTTCATGTATTTATTTTCCTTTATTAGCTCTTTGGTCACCTGCCACTTATTCTTAGTTCTCCTTACACCTGTTTTCTGAGTTATTGGATGGAATTTTTCCTTTAGCTTGAGGTCATCTTTCATTGCATCATCCTGCAATGCTCATGACTTCTGTTGACCTCCTCATTTATCAAGTCACCTTCTTTGGTTCACGATGTCCAGGAGATACAGGTTCCAGGGCCTAGGAATGAGAGTATCTCTTTATCCTTGCCTTGATTTTATATTCTCCCTTTAGCATCAGCTATTGGCAACTGCTGAGCTCCAGATATGGGGCTAGGTGCACTTTCAGCTTGATCCACTGTAGGACAGGATATTGGGCAAACCAGACTATTCCTTGGAGCTATTTTTGCTATACTGTGTTCTTGTGCTTACTCCACCTGTATTTGCCCCCATCACAAATTGAGTCTAACGTTCCTTTTCTGCTCCTAAGCTCTGGTGGTATTTAACCAGTTCTGAGCCTTCCTTTCTCCCCATTCTCTGTCACTATACTTTGCCTATGCTACTGACCCCACTTTTCTTCAGACCCTATCACGTGCCCATCACCCTCTGTCTTTCTCTTGCACTCCTGCAAGTGGGATTGGTGTGATGCCAATCCTGTTCCCAAGAAATAAAAATTTCCCTATTACTTAGAGAAGTCTTTTCAGCTCCTGGTCACAGAAACGCAGACCCTTGTCTCTCCAGCTGCCTCTCTATATGGCTACCGGAACAGAGAGACAGTCTTTTGTGATAATCTCTGCCAAGTCCATGTGCCTCCACTCCCATTCCTGTCCTTCCTCACTGCCCTGCTTGACTTTTGCCAGTCTTACTCCTCTGACAAATTAGACTGTCCTTCACTGCGTGTTGCCTTTGTCTGCTGTCCAAGCTCCTTTCTCTGCCTGCCTTCCTCTCTTAGTGTTACTCATGCATTGCTCTCCTCCTTTCCTCTCAGTATGCCCAACCTTTCTTCTTTGACTCCAGCTTTCATGTTAAAGACCCATCTGAACTCTTAAGCATGTATTTCTGTACCCTCACTTTTTAATTTGACCTTCAGTGTTTGCCATCAAAATGGCATCAGCATCTGCCTGATTCAACCCACACCAAGAGGAGACCATTTTAGCAAAACCAAAACTCTTACTTGATTCATCCTCTCTGCTGGTTTTGACAATCATCTGTAATCTTCTCCTTCTCTGACCTCTCTTAGCCCTCTTTCTGGCCCCCTCTTCCTGATTTCTTAATCGTTCCTTCGTGGTGTTTTTGAAGGCTCCTTGTCACTCCTCCATCCATCCTTCTGTATGGTCTCTACTTTGCTTCATTGATCAGTATGCAAGAAGGTATCAGTAAGCCAGTTATCTGCATCTAAAACGTGTGAATATTTTGTGTCACTATGTCTTTATCAATTGTGTCTCAGAGTTTCAGAGTCTCCTGTGTTTCTCATGGTTCCCCTGTGTTTCACATTTATTCTGTGTCTCCTACATTTCCTTTGACAGAGATAGGTTCTTCTATCTACTCAGAGAGTTACCCTTACTTTTGAGTTCCTGTTTCCACTGCTCTACTGCATCTAGGATGCTTTGACTTCTGAGGAGCTCTTAGCATTATTTTCTTGACAGACACGTGCTTTGAATCTGTCATTTCTTCTCATTTGTGAATACAGAGAATATCAGTTTTCATGCTCAGTCAGTTATTTTCCGTCTCCTATCAACTTGTTTAGTTTTCAAATTATATTCATGCCTTTTACCATGCTCTCCCTTACTCCTGGGGAAAACTCCCAATAAACTTCCACAGATCATCCTTCCATCCATTATCCTTCTCCAGCTCCCTTTAAAAGCCTTGGCAACAATTAGACTGCAAGTACATTCACAACATACCGTCTATTATTCTGGCAAATCTAGACTTACTTTACTCTCCATCTCTCTTTATACAAATGTCTTTGCTTTAATAATTCAATTGGAAGTGATTTGGAGCTAGGAGTCCCTTCTTCTTTTGTGTTTCATCATATAAGATAATGGGGTCTCAGTTTGCAATTATAAAAATATTGTAATAACATGACGATGCATGAAACTCTTAGACACTCTACTTTATGAATATTCTGTCTCCTGTTAGGAGTTAGTATTGCTTAGTGATGCTCAGCACTACTGATTCAGTATTCCCTTCCAAAAGTACTGCAACATCTGTGGTGCCAGATCATTATGAATCTTGATACCCAAAACTGAAAGGAAAATAAATCTTTGCCAGGAAAGACTTATATGTGGGAAACAGCAACCTCTGCAAGCTGCTTGTTGCCGCCTTTACAGTCAAAGGCTATTATATAGTCCCAAAACCACCTCTTGCTATCTGATTGACTGTGTGACTGACAGCTTGCGTTCTATTGAAGGTCAAATAATCTATTGCTGTCATAGTCAGATGATAGAATACAACTGAAGGTAACACGAACCCTGCTCCCATACAGCTTTACTCTCACTTTCTTATGATGATAGTTTGGTTTCCTCTTTGTCCTCCCATTTTGCAGCACTTTGTTTTAATTCCTTTCTTTACTTCTTGCTGTAACCTTTGTGTCACGGATTAGTCATGGAAGGGGAAGGAGAAGTGGAGGAGGAAAGAGAGGAGGAGGTGTGTTACTGTCTGGAAGGCTGCTGCAAAGATGAGTCTTTCAGCACAGTCTGGGATCAGTCAGGATCGTTCGTAGTCCATGACTCAGAGCTAAAAGTGAGTCAGACAGCCTGATCCTGCCTCACTCGCTGCAAGGAATCACCTTCCTGGTCCATTTTGGGTAGCCAGTTTAACCAGATCCTGTCTTTAGTGTCCCAAAGAACTCTGAGGTCTGGGTACAGGTTTCCAAATCAGATTAAATCGTGCTCTTCCAAGTTTTCTCAAAGCATTACCGTGGCTATGGTTTTGTACCCTTTATCTTCACTTAGGAAGGGAATTCATCAGTTCATTGGGAAGAGTTTCTAGCTATCTCTGTATCTGATTACTGCACATTATCACAGTCACTCATCAAACTGACGCTCTGGATATTAGCAGAATTCACAACCTGTATTTTTGATCCACCTATTTTGAGCTTGTAATCTTACAGACTCTTATAGTCTATGCAAAGTCCAATAATTTCATTTTCCTGTTTCCTAGACTCACTCTTGGTGGTGGTGATGTTGGGGGCTTGTTCTTACCCTTCCTGCCTGACAGCTGAACCACAGACATCTAATTGTATAGCCCTAAGATTTATGCCAGCTTCTTCTGGCCTCTCAATTTACTAAGCATACCCTTTTCCAGCCTATATGGACACCTTCATCCATGGTATACCTTTCCAGCGACCAGCAGCAGATGAAGTAACAAGGGAGAAGCTTTACATAATGTTACTAAGAAAATTACTATCAGAAGGCACACAACCTGAACATACCCACAGATATGTAGTACATATAGATCAAAATTGGGACCAGAAATAGGCTAAGGTGCCTCATGTAAGATTTCTAATCAGTGTCTTTGAGGCTAGAACTGATTTAAGCACTGGCACAAGGTATCTGATGTTTTGTGGAGTACCTTTCACTGCAGATTTTTAGAGCAAGGCAACCATCCCTTGTGCACTACAGATCGGGGTGTAACAAGGGATTCTTTTTATCCCCAAATTTATGCAAACACTATGCATGTGTAAGATGGAATTTTGTGTTTGCTATGTGCTGATGGATTCTACAAATCTTCGTATATGTATTTGTGGCCAAAAAAACATATCTCAGAAACTCAGATAATGAAGTTGTTGATACCTCATAATCCAGCATGTAAAGTTTGTCACTTTGCATCAAAGTTTTTCATTGATGCTGCAGAACATTAAATCTAGCAATTCCAAGATACTTAACAAATGCCAATTAGTTTAGACACATAAAAATGCTGTACTGAGTCACAGCAAATGTTTAATGCTAAATGGTCATGACAGAAAATGTGCTGAGTGTACTTCATTACGACTCCTTGACCTTACAGGTGACAAAAAAGAATAGTTGAAAGTTTATAGAAATATCCTTTGTTTTAATGATAAAGGATAAAGTTAAAGGAATATAAAAAATGACCATTTTTTCCCTTTTCAGACTTGGAGATTTCAGTGTGAAAAACTGCTTTGGAAAATAAAGGTTCTACAGAGAATGAAACCTGATCTTTTTGAAAATAAGGCAGATACACATTCACGATTTGGCATGAATGGGAAGCTATAAATTTAGAACCTGCTTTTAATTCAGTTACTATTTTGGTCACTAACATTTGAAAAAAATGCATTTGATGTATTTGTTAAATTTCAGTTCAGAGATTTGAGGGTTTATTTTTGGCTTTCATTTTTCTAGAAACATCAGCCAAATGAAAACAAATTCTGACCTGTACACAAAAGTCATGCTCTTTATCTGTCTGCTGGAAAGATAATTAATCCCTAGAAGCATCCTATGATTCTGGATTGCAAATATGTCTTTGAGCTGCTGAAATAGATTGATGAATACACAAAAATATATAATTTATCTTTCTATGAGGATGATGATAAAGAAACAAAAAACTGTATTTTGGATGCTCATCAAGGGCTCAAATCTTTTGACATTCATGTAGAAAGAAGATTACTAATACTCTCACACAGGTCTATTTGTGTTCTGGCATAATTTTAGCCTGAAATAATTTCTTGCAACCTAAATTACAATCTTGAAAGAATACACTCTTACAATGACAACAGTGAAGGACTTTTAATTACTACAGGTTGCCATTATTGTGCAACTATTCTTTCTTAAACTCTGTAAAGAAGCTTCTGAAGAAAAAAAGATTTTTGTGCGTTCCCTTTTCCTTGTATTCTTGATGCTCAAAGAATACTGCATTCTTTGAAGAGTGTGGGGTTTTTCTGTATTCTTGAATGAAGTAAGTGTTTTGGCAATAAAAGCCCATCAGTTTACAACTGTTTTTTATCCAGAAGCAGTTGTAATTGTTTCTTATATTACTGTTATTTTGTTTCCCAGTGTGCAGTGTGTGGAATACTCCTTTGTATCCTTGGAAACCTTCATCCAGGTAAAGTTGGTAAACTTTACCTGGCCTTTTAGATATACCTTGCAGTTATCTCCACATATATTCTATTGATGGTGAGCATTTGTCTATCTCTAGTCATGAACTGATGGTCTGGCTATTTGATTACAAGTAACTGATGCACCTTTGCTGAAATTAGTTAAGATACCATCCCATTTGGGTCATTATACTGGATATATCATCCTGTTTCATCAAAGTATATGTGAATGGACATTGCAACCCTGATTTCTGAGTGTGCTATCAGTCAGGGAAGTTTGCAGTTTATAGTAACGTTATGGAAGTGAACTATCTTAAGAAGGTTGCTTAACAGCTAGGAAAATATAGCTTATGCAAGTCACCATAGATCTGGATGTACAATAGCTCAGGATCTTGTCCACTGTTTATTTTTGAATATTTTCCCTGGTGCCTTTGATGTCTTCTAGTGCTTACCATTTCCCTGAGCTGAAAACTGAAGGTGGCTCCCAGACAGCCCTTCACTACTGATTGCGACTGAAGCTGTGACTACATGTCTGATGGCAAATCTGAGCTCCCTCTGCTCCTTCACTGCAGACACATTACAACAGTGTGCAAACAGGTTCACCAAAGGACAAGATTTAAATGGTCTAGTTAAGTTGCCATACAGCAGCTGCAATGCTTTCAGTGAATATCAATTTAAGTCTCCTTTAAAGTTCTGATAGAGCACATCACTGTTTTTCCTTTTAATGACAACAGGTTTCACACTAGTGTCAGATTCACTCCTAGTGTTGAGTCCAGTAAGCACCTACTCAAGCCAATAGCTCAGTCCTTCAGCGTTGGACAAAGGTATTCCTGCTCTTTGGGGGCTGGGGGCTCCAAGCCACTGCCCTGTGCAGTCACTGCACCTGCCAGGGGCTGGACGTGCCCTTCAAGGAACAACAGGCAACTGGTAACGGGCCTTACCAAATCCCCAGTTACACCATTTCCCTATGCGCTGCACTTTTACACCAGTCTTGACCAATCTAACACTATGATCTTGACTACACACCACTGGGAGATGTCCCATTGGCGAGAGGATCCTGTGCTAAGATTTTTTCACCAGGTTTATATAGAAAGGCACTCAGAAGAGCTACTTCTCACTGCCATGTCCCCTTCCAAGCTTTTCTTTGGTTACCCCTTAAAATCCCTCAGGGAAAGGAGAGTGTCTATAAGAAACACTTACTTGAAATAGAAGAAAATTGCCAAGGAAATCAACAGCGATGTTATAGACAAAGCATGGCCAACGATTGCCATATAATAAAGTATGAACGCCATCTGCAATTTAACAAAAAGAAAAGGCAAACATGAAAAATTTGCAGGCACTCAGTTTTTTTTCTCATTAAGGAAGAATCTACAAAATCAACCTTCCATTTTGTATTTCTTTTCTTTCAAAGATTCTTTTTCAATATACTTTTAATATCAGCAATGTATTAAATAGCACGACTCATGGTCTAAAGATGAGATACATGTTCCTTACATGAGTTGATCTGTTTCTGCTGCACTGAAGTAACTGGCTAGATTCCCTCTCACACTATGTGTCACTAACTTTCCCAAGCTCTAGGAGAGTGCAGCAGACATAATACATTCAGATTTTCAAAAAGCCCACAACAAGTTTCCACACACAAAAAATTATTAAAGAAAATAGGTTGCTGCAGGATTGGTAGAAAGCTTTTATGGTTTGAAAGCAGTTTAAACAACAGGGAGCAACAACTTAACGGTCACTTCTGGAGATGAGTGAGTGGTTAGGTGCCCTCAGGACTCGTACCAGGGCTGGCGTTTTGTTCAACATATTAATCAGTGACCTGATGCAGAGAAATCTAAGTTTCCAGGTGATACTTAGGTCTTTCAGATAATAGTGAGGGATTCCAGAAGGGTCTCACATAACTGAGGGGACAAGAAGATGCCATAGGAGTTTTAATACAGAAAAAAGTAGGGTGGTACAGCTAGGGTCAAAGGATCTAAACCCTGCCTACACAATGCTGAACTCAGAATTGGAAACCAAACTCAGGAAGGAGATCTTGGAGTCATCCCAGCCAGTTCTCTGAATCATTGGCTTACTGTGTAATGACAGCCAAAAAGTCAATGAAATGTTGGATATCATCAGGAAAGGCACTCAGTGTAGAACATCATTGTGCCTCTGTTCAAAATTTACATCACGCATCTTAAATGCATGTGTGTTTCTAGTCTCCACACCTTATGGACATGGCAGAGCTAGGAAAGGTGCAAAGAAGGCAACTAAAAGAACTGAGGTAGAGTAGCTGTGTTATGACAAGTTGGTACAAATGCTGGGATTCTCCCCTTTAGAGAAAAGAAGTCAGAGGGGGCTTATGATTAAGGCCTACAGAGTCATGAAAGCAGCAGACGAGATGAAAATTATCTTCAACTCCTACCACACTGGAACAGCACACCCTGAGACAAATTCTGGTTCACACTGGCGTGAACCTTCTTATTGGGTAACTAGATGGTCTTACAATGCTGTGAAGGCAGTATGCATGAACAGATAATCAGGCTTACACTTTGACTAGTATCAGTGAAATTTAAGATAGGCCTATCCACATTTTGCATGCCAATAATGAAACAAAACTGCAGGACAGCACCTGGGCTTCAGAATGCTGCAGTATTTAGATGTCATACTTTGGTCTCAACCAAGCTCTTAAGCATCACCCAGCTGTAAGAAGACTGCAGGAGGCTAAACGGCATGCCAGGCTTCACCGTTGCCTTCCTTCCTGAAAGCACTAATATAGTATCCACATGTCCTGAAAAAAACCACTGGATAGGAGGTCCTAGTTCCTCTGCTGGGTTTATTTTCTTTTCACCTCTATTTCATTAATTTTTCTTTTGTTATGCATGAGCAATATTCCTTTTTTTCAACAATTAGATTAATTGCTTTCTGTAGCCCTAAGTTTTGCTACTCACATCTCTTTGGTGTTTCTAAGTAATTTAAACTTTCGTTTGAAAACAAATATGAATAAAATTCAGAAAACAAAGCCATTTCTCTTAGGTGCACATCTTCTTATCTAGTTTGTTCTTCAGTCATTTTACAAATTTGGAATCAGCTCCTGCTTTCATTAACCTAGGTGGTGGTGGTCTGATTCAGATTTAAACCGTTTACACTATCTTGACCATGTAGAACAGACATGATCTGAGTGTAAATATCATTCACCAATTTATGGAAACCTATGCATATTAACTACAAATACCCTAGATCTCCTAGTTTTCCTTCACAAAGACTAACCACTACATTGCCAGTGAATGCAAATGCTTGACAACTTGTTTTGAGAGCATCAGCAACCCCAGAGAGGGCAGAGAAGATGAGACAACTTTCTGAATATAGAGTAGTGAGAGAGGTTTTTACCTGTGTGCATGTGACATTTCTTCCACTCCACACTAAGTAGTTACTATGCTTTTTCATGAGATTAGATTGATGTAATTTTTAAGTCTGAATTTAATTTACAGATGAACTGTTCAAAAGGACGCTGTTTTGTTGCCTATCCTGTATACAGCCCTTAGTCTGAAACAGCTAGAAGTAGGAAAAGCTTCCAGATAGCTACATGCAAGTGCATGTGCACCCTGGAGGACTTGGTTATTTGAACTATCTACCTTTCAGCATACGACTGCAAACTCAGCTTAACCGTGTATCTGGGACTCAGCAACAGCATTTTTGATTACTCCACGTAAACTTACTATGGTAACTGCTCAAAAAACTTTCCAACTACAACAACAAAGACAGATCAGAATGGACTGAACTGTCAGCTAACAAAGCATATGGTCTATCACTGTATTTTTAAGAACCGGCTGCAATACTTTTGGTTTTTAAGTGATTTTTCTCAAAAGTATAGCATGTTGGTATTTTCAGTTAACTTCAAACAAATAATGAACTATTTTATTAATTTCTGCACTCCTTTTATTAATTTCTGCACTCTGTCTTGTCCCTTCTGACTTACAGGACTTATAACATGCTGACTCACCAAATTTTTAGCTTTTGTAGATTTTGTCATCCCAGGCTTAGAAAATTTCTAAAAGAAACACTTAATTGCTTTTTTTTGTCCCCTTAGAATTCTTCACTTGAGGAAAGAGAATTCTTTAACTCAGTTAATTATATTATTTGTAGGTACATGGAAATAGTCTACAAATGAAACATACTCCTGTTTTTGAAGTCTTGGATTAAAGGTCAGAATCTAACTTGGCATTTCTGCAAAGAGAGATTCTTTCTGCATTTTCCGTCATTTTTTGTTTCAGAAGAATCTCGATGTACGTATAATTTTTCTTTGACTTCTATCTGCACTTTGCTTGAATGATGTTCAAAATTGTTCTTCTGGAAGGCATGGATAATAGGTAACAGAACTACATTTTTTGCCTCCCTACATGGGCCAACATCTGGAAAAATTATATTTTTACGGTGCTTCCATTTAATGCCTCTGTGAACTCATATTGATACTATTATTCTCTCTTTGTCACATAGGTAAGCCCCATTTTACCATGATGGTTCCTCATGCTGCAAAAACTTTTAGAATTCACCTCCTGCCTGGTCCAGTAGACTTTTCCAAGGCCCTTTGGGCAGGATCATTACTAAATATAACCACATACTGCTTTTTGGCTGCATAAAAAGAAGATCCTCCAACACAAACCCCAAATCAAATCACTTTTTGACTCTTTTCCTTCCACAACTCCAACTAGTCACAAATTATTCTGTCACAAATATGTAATCAGATTTTCCTGGAGCTCCACTCACATTTGAGAAATATGTTTATTTTCATGAACTTTCCTAACTTGATTTTTTTAAAGTTTTTCTCAGATTTCTCTCTCCTTGTTTCTTTTGGTGTTTTTGTATTTAGCTCTCCTCTTTCAGCTTAGCAACTTGATTTTGGAAATATTGATGCAAATGCTTAATTCATTATCGTCAATAGTCTCAATAACTTCAGTCAAACTGTTAAAGTTAAATGTGTTCAGGCTTGTAGGATTTTCTGGATTGATGGTACCTTCATAAATATTTCTTTTCAAAGGGAGTGAGTATAACGTTGTGTTCTTTGTTTAAGTAAAATAATTTTACCTTACATTAACATTGCTAGCTGTGCAGAGAATCACAGAGATCAGGCGTTCTCAGGGTGGTATGGCCATAGGCATACCACACATCATACCAGATATCAACAGATTGGAAAATACTTGCTACAGAAAGCAAAACTTAATTCTAAATGATTATTTTATAACTGTTGGGCAATCAGGGAAAATCATAGGAATTAAAAAATGCATTTGAAAAATTCTGCAAAACTTGTCACATGAATTGATACTAAATTATCCTCTCTTTAGCAAACCTATATTTAGGTTTGAGCACTCATCAAATAATTTTAATAAGCTAAAATCACGAGGACAATGCCATTAAATTCTGATGTAACAAATAAAGCTGAAAGATGAGGACTATTCTGATCTCTCTTATATGTGTCTTACTGCTAGCCCAGCCTAAAACCATTCCCAAACAAACACTGCCTTTTTAACTGTAGCATACCTTCAATTTTTCAGAGGTGAAAGAGTTGCACAGGGTATAGTTGGACCAAGTTCGGTTGCTCTCAGGATGGCGGAACCAGTTTCCAGTTTCATCACAATATTTTGAAGCCCTCTCTGAAGATAAATTGCAATAGTAGTTATTTTAGCATATGCATATTACACAATTAAAAATCCATAAAAAAGAATTTCTATGTTTGGGAATAAAATGTCTGCATAACAAAATCCAAAGGATTTCCAACTTGTGCAATTAATATACATTTTGCTGTTTGTTTTTTTTTTTCACTCAGAGATTTATCTGTTGGTTTACTTCTTGTTTATCTGTCTCCTTTTGTCTTGAATAAATGCAGTAGAGTATATATACCCAGCCTTCATTCAGATGCAATTATTTATGTGATAATAATCCATTTAAAGAGGTTGTTGAAAGCTGTTTATGGAAGAGAAAGTAACTTCAGGCCCTGACACCGAACCTGAAGGAAGTATATCAAGGTTTCAGGTATCAAATGAAATAATCAGTTAAAAATACTGTGTAGAGAAAGGCCAGCAAGCAGTGTACAAACCACAGCCTGAGTGCTGGAGATGCTGACAGCCTCAAAGCCAGTGCCGTGTTTACACAGAGGGGTGGAAGAGTCCTGTGCCAGCTAAATCCTGCCAGGGGTGATGGGAGCACTGCTTGTTTTCCTCTGAGGCTGCAAAGCATGCAGGTACAGAGGGAAGCAGTCTTGCAAACTCTTTGGTGGAGGTCCTAAGTGTCCAGTTTAATTGAAAATGGCTGCAGAGTTCTCTGTTTAAATAGTCTGATGTGTGTTTGGCCTCTCCACCTGTGTCTCTGGTGCTGGCTCCTGTGCTGCAGGCGGCTCTAGCATCCTTCCCCAAAGCCCTGCTGTATAGATCGCTCTCCAGTCTTACACTCCTTCGTGTGCGTCCTTTTACTGTGGCTGGGGGATGGCGGAGGCTTCATCACCGTACAGCTCCGAGGAACAGCAGATGTGTGCTGTGCCCGCATCCTCGAGGCCACGCTCACCTTTCTGCCTGGGAAACCCTGGACGCTGAGGCACAGACAGTCACTTCTAATCATCTGTCAAGTTTTGGACTAGTTCTTTTTGGCCTTCCCTCAAGCATTAGCCACATGGGATTCACTGGAAAGTTTGCCCGAGTAACAAAGGAATGATAAGATCATAAACTTAAATTATTTGATGTTTTCTTAGATAGTGACAGAGCTGTTTATTTATGAAAAACACAATTTTTCAAGTCTGACTTTTAAAATAGTCTAAAAAGTCTGTCTTGATTTCCCTTTGCCTATTCTAGCTTTATAATTTTATTGGTTTTATACACAGATTATCAGCTTTTCCAGTCAATACACTTTTACAGAGCCAATTACCGTTTGAACATACACATTTTCATTTTTTGTGGTCAACATTTGCATTTATTTTTCTTAATCAGCCCTGATGATTAAAGATTCTATTAATTTGGAAGATTCATATTCCCTCTATACACCCAAAATAAAGCAAGGAATTGATCATATTGTCAAGATAAGGATTGTATAGACTGAGCTGTCTTCCTCTGACTAGAAATACACTTTATATAGCGCTACTGTAAAAAAAAAAAAAAGAAAAAACAATCCTTCAGAACACTCCATAACAAAGCATACTTTTGAAATCACTGTGAGTTTCAAATCATTGTTTTGGGGGACTTGCTGAACATCAATACATGCATCAACAACACCAAGATCAGTACATGTTATCTCGGTCTTCCATCACTGCAGCTTGGAGATAATCTCAGACTGCCTGTGTAGCAATGTTCCTGTTGTACTCGTTGCCAGATATTAGCTAAAGCTGGAAAAAGTTTTCAGTCACAGATAAAAGATTAATGGATACACTACCACGGAACACAGTGTACAAACATTGTACCTACTATCCCATGCACTCTGCAAAGTACACAGCTTTTGCTAATATGCTATAGAATATAAGAATAATATCATCGATCATCTCTGTACTTTAGTGCCTAGGTAGGCACTCTGCCGAAGTTTAATGTGGCCTCTGTGAGTCAGAGACAAACCTATTGCCTCATAGTTTTCATTGAAGCCAGACAAACACAACTGATCCTAGTTTGGAAGCAGCCATGGCCCACGGATTTCTTGGTGTGATGTTGTCAGAATATGGGACTTGGGGATAGGTCTCCACACTGTCCATCCCAATGACTCAAATAAGTCAAACATCTCTTCTAAATCTCTGGTTTTACTCAGAAATAAAACTGTGAGCCTGTAACCCAACCACTGTTCTACTGCAAGTTATTCTACAGTGGTCCAGCAGCAGGTGTGGGATTATGAACCTGGGCACGTGTTGGTTTTTATAATAACCAGAAGAATCTAGTAACCTCCAAAGAAATACACAATGTGTAAGGATGGGTAAGGTAACACTAGCAAGGCAAAGTGGAAGTGTGGGCTTTAAGATTATTAAAATATTATGTAAATACTAATTTTTTAGGCTCTGTCTGTACCATATCAGCTTGGATAGGGCACCACTTGGGCATTACATTATTCAAAGTGGAGGAACAGTGACATTGCATGGGATTCAGGTTAGATATTAGGAGGCATTTCTTCACAGAAAGGGTTGTTAGGCATTGGAATGGGCTGCCCAGGGAGGTGGTGGAGTCACCATCCCTAGAGGTGTTTAAGAAAAGACTGGAAGTGGCACTTAGTGCCATGGTCTAGCAGACATGGTGGTGTTAGGGCTAAGGTTGGACTTGATGATCCCAGAGGTCTCTTCCAACCTCATCGACTCTGTGATTCTGTGATTCTGTTCTTCGTCTCACCTGATTTTAGCAACCTTAAAGTTATGCAATCCATAGGCAGTTGTGCAGGAGCTCTGTAGTTAGCTTAGAAAGACAGACACTTCAAGAGCTGCCTGGGAAAAATGGATGAGCGAAATTTCACCCACAAGGGCGGTTTCATGGGAGTAGCGAGCTGTCTAAAAAGATTAACCAGTAGTAATAGTTTTGTGTGTAGTATTGTTTGTGCTACCAATAGTGCTTTTATGAATTATATTTTCATAAAACCAACTCATTCATTTATATGTAACAAATGTCTTAACCCAATAACTGGAACAAACATGAAAGGTCTATCAATCATTTTTTTTACAATTAGACTACTTCTAGTCTAGTTGTATTCTAGTACATGTCAAAAGAGTCAACACCATTTTTGTATTTATTGTTGAGTTATAAGCTGGAAGTAGAAAGAAGTTTTCCTCTGCTGCAGTGCGTGCTCGGCACATACCAGACATTGGATTCTCTGCCATTGTTTGGATAGACCTGTATAGTGCTTAGTTCTGCAGATGAGGGAATAGCTGATGTAGCACATCTGATTTACTTACATCCTCAGTAAAATATTCTAGAAGAAGATTTTTCAGAAATGAAAAAATAATCTGATGTAATACAATGGAAACCCTAGAAAACTTTAATTCCAGTGTCCTAATAAGTGAAGAATTATCACTATCATCAGAATGCCTCAAACAGCAGAACTGGAATCTATATAATAGAGTCATATTGGGCACTGCGGATATAAGAATTGATTTTTAAAATACAGCTGCCAAGCCTGCTAAGAAGCAGGACAGAATTACACAAAAGGGCAGGGGGAAAAGAAGCAGCTGAACAAGGAGTTCAGATTTGTTTTATTTATCACTGTCTAAATGATATCACTTCAAGACAGGAAAATAGGACCAGCAGAAATCCAGAGCTGGCTTTTTTAGTCAGTCAGGAAATCTGCATTTTGTGGCAACAAGAGAAGGGCTCTTGCAGGTCCAGCCCTTCCTGTGCTCTCAGGGTGCTCCAGCAGGTCCATGGGGCTCCTGCCCACCAAGAATGCTGCTCCTTGCCCGCCGCCCACTGTAAGCACAGGCACATCACCCTGCCGAGGCACAGTGCCGAGTGCGAAGGAGCACATGGTGGACTGGCTACGCAGGAGGGGAGATCACAGTTGGGAAGGTGTTTGAATTAGGGGATGCCTGACGAAGTGGCCTCCCTGCCTGTCAGGAGCCAGCGGAGTGGAAGGAGCCTGCGACCCAGAAGGTCTCTCTCTCTCTCTCTGGTTTGTGGAAGGCCATGGTTTCTCATCTGCAATGCCTGCTCTTGTCAGCTTGGCAACCTACTCAGCTGAACGCTTTGTGCATTTTGCCAGCTGTGAGAAGGGTGTACCTGTGTCTCTCAAATTCAGTCCCTTGTGGTCAGAGGCATCACAGCTGGTAAACCCAAAAGGGTCAGCAAGAGCTATTCAGTCTGTTCCCCCTTCTCTTGCATGGAGCATTTATCCTTATTTCTCTATAGATCATTTTGCCAGAAAGACAAAGCAATTCAGAGACCGCGGTATGGCACAAGAAGAAAGCTGCAGAGAACACAAATACCCCAGCACCTCTGCCCCCTCCGCTGCTGTGATCCCCACTCCCGAGCATGGGGACCTCACTCCCTCTAGTCAGTGTCAGAGCAGGAAGGCAAGGCTGTACTTCCATGTTCCTCAGTTCTGAGAGGTAACAACACATTAATCATCATCTGAAGTAATTGCTTATGGATACATATGAATCTGTTTCCAGATTGCACTTCTAGAAACTCTACTCTTGGAGAGACATGAAGAGTTCTGAGTAACTGGTTTACAAAATGGAATCAAAGACAGAAACCCAACAAAGTGGAAAACTGAGTGGAGTTTTGCTAAATGCAGCCTTGGATCACAAAGTTGGGCTGGGCTTGCTCCCTGCTGAGGTGGCTACTGCTCTTAACCACTGCTCTTTGCAAAAGAGGAAAGGTAGTGAAAGTAAAAAGGCAGGGCTGCCACAGCGCAGCTTGCTCATTCAGCTCCCTTGCTATGTGACTGCACCAAATTAATCCTGACCAAATGCACCGTGCAGGGAAAGTGAGGTGGATAATACAAGAAACCCCTGCCACAAACACAGCAGCCTCTGGATGGCATAGGGCAATGCTCTGCCCCTCCTGCTGCCCCCAGTAAATCTGCCTTGCTAGAAGGCCATTACATCCACAATAGATTTCTCTTTTTTTCATTAGCAAGAATATTACCAGCATGAATTACAGACTACATTCCTATCAAATTCAATTCCTAGCAATTTCAGCATGACCTGGAACCATTTCAAAGGGATTATACCAAAGATTAACCTGGATAAAATATGAATATAAAATACAACTCAAGGGAAGCTGTGCATGTTGCCTGAATAGCGGAGTATAAAACAGCCCTGCTCGGAGCTTCACAGTCAGGAGTGGATGAGACAATGAACTTCCTGCTGTCACCGGCATTAAAGCAGTAGGTCTCGGTATGTTTTCCAGACAAATTGATTTGTTTTTACCCATTATCACATTGCGCATGATGGTCATTGTGAGAAAGATATTGCTACAAGAGGCAACAGTTGTTTATTGAAAAGGACAAAGTTGTCACAGCTTGTAGAGATGTAGAGAGGGGTTTCTGTTTGTCTGCTAGCTTTAAGATACTAATTTCCTTTCACAGGATAGAGCTTGTTCAGGTGGGGAAAGAAGTGTCAGGAGCCCCAGCTAACCGAACAGACCAGATTATCAGAGTGGTCCTTCCTTCTTTCAGAACACAGATTCCTATCTAGTGAGAACTGATCTAAGTTCAGTGAAACAAGTGGGACTACATCTGGTAGTTAGTTGTGAAGTTGTCAGACATGAAAGGAATGGAGCACTGAGCATGTTCTCCATAATTTTGCTTCTGGGTCCTTTTCTCCAGAATATGATTTCACCTTGTTTACTTTCTAACATACTCTAGTAATTCCCTCTTGGCATCAATGCTGAATGTTGTTGGGGGTTCAGGTATAGAGAGCTGGTATACAGCACTCACAGGTGCAGACGGGACGAGGATCTGATCCTAAGCTGCCAGATAATGTTTCACTTTTCCAGTTACGAATGATGTAAGTATCAAAGAACAGAAAGAAAGCTGCATACATCATTTTATTCCAGGACTCAAAGCTATACATGGCCTCAAACTAAGGTAACTCAACCATCAGTGAGCTGATACATAGTGGTTCTGCAGATCTCAGTGCAGCTCGCAGCAGCATAGTGTGAAATAGTAATTTCAGAAGTCTATGGGGTTACTTGCATGCCTAAAATATATGCTGAGGTGGTTTGATACCACCGAGAGTTAACGAACAGGAAGGAAATCTGACAGGCACTGCAGTTTTCATCATGTGAAATCATTGTTCTTTAGGATGAACTTTCTGTTTCTCACCAGAAAATCTAGCTGTATTTTGTTTAACAGGCATAAGTTACCAAAGGAAATAATGACTTGTGACACAAAACCTGACAGACTTTTCAGGACAGCTGAACTAGTGGCTCTGGCCACCTGTAAGTGGCAGCCACTTCCATTAGCAGAAGAAGGACTTCTAGTCAGCCCCACGATTTCTTGTCTCCTTTCTACTTTATAAAGTCTCTGTGTGACAATCAGCCACTTGTAAAGCAAAGGCTGGTTACCTGCTGGTTTGATGCCACAGCTGTAAAATGTGCTGGGTTACTCAACTGCTACTCTGGGAAAGCATCTCTGGCTCAACCAGGAGATGCTGAGCTGCTGCCGAGCCAGGGAAACAGTGTTGACTGACCAGGATGCAGGCAAACAGGCTGACAAAGGTGCTGACAAGGAGAAGAGAGATGTGCCAGGGGAAAATGCTGAGTCCAGAAGACCACAGGTATTGTTCCTAAACAGGACAGCAGTGAGAATAGTAGGAAATTAATTACTGGAGGAGGCTTTTCCTCCTATGGCGGTGTACAGAGAACAGGAATACTAAAAAATTCGCAAATCTGCAAGTTTCAAAGTGTGGCAGAAAGAGAAATTGCAGCACGCATACGCTATGGGCCAGACTCTGCAGCACGCATCTGTACATTGAGTGATTTGCGATCAGTTGTATGAGCCACAGAGCTTGGTGTTAATAAGCATTAATAAGTGGAGTGAGGTGCTTCTCCATGGATGGTTTCAAGTGTTACTTTGGAGAGTGCTGTTGTAGCGCAGCAGTTAGTTCAGAATAAGTCACTGGAGACAAGGAGGCAAGTGGAAAAGCTGGGAATGGGTGGCCTGGGAGCAAGCAGGAGAGTGGCTCTGTAATGACCCCCATGCACTGAGGGATGAGGACCTCAAGTCATGGGGAAAGTTCTGTGATCATGTCGCTGACAACACCCACTTTTGCAGGTACAAGCCATATAGCACAAGGAATATACACAAACTAGGACTGTTAGAGCTACATTTTTTTTCTATGAAAAACATGGAAGCAGGGAAAGCACAAGCCTTGTAGTAAATCTTCCTATACATCAAAGGGACTGCTGCCACATGGGGAGAATACCATGAACAAAATGGAGGCCGAAGCGGAAGGTACAGATGCCATCCAAGAGGCACCTCTAACATGCATGTTGGAAAAGGCTTGTGCAACCTCAGGATCCAGAGCTTCAAGCTCTCTCCTGAACGTGGGCACTTCTGTCTGGGAACTGAATTAAGTTTGGCCAGTTCTTTTAAAATGCTCTTCTGGTACCTTTTGTTCAAATAACGTAATGGTTGAAGCACTTGTCCACAGAGAGGGAGACCTGGGTCAAAGGCACCCCTCCAGCTGAGGGTCTCATCTCCTCAGCCTGTTTCCCACCAGGTGCTCCAATGATCAGCCATGAGCACAGCCCTTCCTTGAAAACTATGACACTGTACGGAAAAGAGGGCAAGACTAAGTGTGTCAGAAGGCAAAAAAAGGTCACAAAAGACAAGACTTTGTGATTTAGTGCCAGTTGTCTGTCTCAGGGATGTAAACTGCTGTGAAGATTTGTGGGGCAGGTCTCAGAGGAATCCCACAAGAGACGGACAGTCACCCTGCCACATGAGCTCACTTTCCAGGCACACATGTTGTCCTTCAGTCCATCCTGTCCAATGCCTACTTCCACTGGAAAGGGGGAGGTTCCTCCATCAAAGTTGGGATGCAGGTTTGAACGTCCTCAGACTGGGGCTGACACGGGAAGTTTCCCACTTGCTGGGTGAATTCTCTAATCATGGATATCTTGATTTATAAAGAACAGAAATATCGAAAAATCTGGTTGCTACTGTGAATGGGATTTAGCAAAATGCATACTGGATCTGATCCAACCTGGAAACTCTTCTGTTTCTAAACAGGCAACAAGCTCAACAAAATCAACAGTTTTAGCTAATGGCACCACGTAATTAACTCACAGCTATGAAAATGGTACTGGGTAATTAATTCATAGCTATGCAATAGTCTGTTTCCTTAGTTTTCAGTTGGGCACATACATTCTGGTTTAATCTTGTTGAAAATTTTTAGATTTATAAACCCTTGCCCCAAATGTTTAGTTTCATAGTTTTTCACTGCAATTGGTACACTGTCTATGCTGGATTTAGCACACCGTGGCACCAAGCACCACCTATAAGCAACACGTCCTGAGCGTGTAACACACAACTGTGTCTTTCTTCAAACAATACTCTCTGTTGAGTTATACTTGTGTCTAATATTTCCTCACATCTATTTGGCAATATTTCTGTCCTTGATTTTTCCTTTCACTTGTCCTTTTAAATGTTCTTGAATTACTTCTTGTATTCTGCATGGCTGCTAGTATCTGTATGAATAATTCAATGAACAACTGAAACTTGGAGACTCACAGAACATTATTTCTGCTCATCTTCTTTGATAAGATTTTTCCAATAAAAACCGAACAAAGAACATGTTGCTATATATTTCATGCACATAAGCATTTTCTCTTCATTGTAACACTTAGAATGAGGTGCTAAAATGTTTCTGTATTATAAGTAGTTAATATTTTCATAAACTAGGTTCCATAAATCTATCAGTTATATTTAGATAAATATATAAAAAATATTTTATAAATGAAAATATATAAATTAGGCAACCCAAAAGCTCGATATATTTTAATTTCAGACAAACTCTCTGAGATTTCACACTGCTGCAAAACTGTCACTGGAAACAGGTTTCCACTCAATAACATGAATGTTCTGAAGTCTTCCTTTGAAAGATAAGGCAGTAAAAAGAAATACTGTACCAGTTGGATCAAAGTCTGGAAAATAATCTGGACAATTCTGAGCAGTGATTCTTCCAGCAGGCGTGTCGTCCCAGCACAACCAGCCATCCCATGTTCGATTGCAGAACAGACCTGGACATTTAAGAGCAACGCTGGAGTTAATTCAACACACAGCCGCTCCTGAACCTGCTCTGTTCTAGTCTCTCAAGGAATATTGCCATCTCTAGACAATCATGTTTTCTTTTTTGCAATAAAACCCCTTGTTATTGCTACACTTTGAGTGGCATTCAGGTGCTACAAGGTACTTGGTTTTGCTGACGTGACGTTAGTGGTGTTCATTTTACCAGAAAGTAATGTTTTAAAGTCTGTTGAACTGAACTTTGAATGTAGGGTCTGATCCTACAAATTCCTCTTTTTGATCCTGCCTTCGAGCTTAGCCGTAAGCATGTACACTAGTGGTACCCAAAGACCTTACAGACAGCCACTTTTCACTTTACCTTGTGCTGTCTGAAAATCAAGCCTTTGAAATGTAAAGGCACGAAGGGCTTCCAGGGAAGTCCCAGCTAAACACATTTACGGAGACAGCTCCCTGCAAGGTTGCTGCATTGCTCAGCACTAGAGGTCCGCGACACAACTACAGACCCAGTGGAGCAAGTGCAAGACCAACCTGTGACAGGCGAGCTCTGCCTGGTGCTGTTGTTCGGGTAGGCATGCAGTGATCCTGTCCTCACCATGCACCTCCTGGGAAGGCAGCACTGTCGAGGCTGTGTCCCTTACGAGGACTGTTCCCAGCCCCAGAAACAATGGCCGTACTACGGAGGCAGAGCACAGCTCATTCTTGATTCCCGTTATGGAGGTGTCCATTGCTATCAACCACAGAAATTGTGCCTGCCTGCTTGCAGTAACACAATTTCCTGACTCATTGTGGATTTATTCAAGTAACACATTAAAAAAATCCCACACTTCTTAGTTATTTTCCATTTAAAATCAGTTTGTGTCAGGGAAAATGTATTTATCATCATGATCATCAGGTTAAAGAGAAATACAGTGAGAAGATACATCTTGCCTTTTCTACTCTGGTCTCAGGGGAGTTTCATAATGGTTGCTACGACCATGTAGGTTGTTTTTGAGAGAACCATATGGAAGGCACATAATAACCACTGAAATTTAATAAAATATGGGGAGCTAATTGCTGCTGGTGCTTTTGAAATTACCACAGATAAGATTTCTTACTGAAGCAAGAAAGCTGTAAAGACATATGAATTGTTCAGATTTGCACCAACTGTTTTGAAGGTCACTTCAGCGAAGCCACTGAGGCG